TCATTTTTCAAATTCAGATGAAAATTGTACTCCAAAATCTCTGTGATGAAATCCTTCTGGGCTGATTGCAGTGTTGTAGCAAAAGTATTAATTTCAACCATGATGCCATTAGTCAGTAATTTTGGATCCAGATTTTGTTTTACTCCAGATCCCACATTGAAATCAATGCCTATTTTCTTGCACCTGGAATAAGAATAAAATAGGCAATGTTCTACATGAGGCACAGAGAGGATCTGTTGAATTTGATCAGCCCGCAATTTCCACAACAATAAATCGAGCTCATTTTCTTGTTCAGTGTCAATGGAACTCCCTACATTTTGGTCTATGATTGGAGCCTGGGAAGAGCCAGTACTACATGTATCTAAATTTGGGCTGTTCTGGCAATCCATCACCATCATTAAGAATTCTTTGTGCTTTATTGGCTTTATTTTCTTGAAGGTTGCTACGTTTGATAGATTTTTTTGCTCCAATATAACAGGAATTCGAGTAAGAATAGTTTTTGCAAGGTCAGAATCTCCATTTTGCCAATCAAGATCAAAGTTGTGTCTGAGGATATCAAGACAAATCTGATCAAATGTTCCACACAACCTTTCTGCAAAGTTTGTCACTTCAGTCATTGCCCCATTGGTCAATTTGTTGATCTCAAGTTTTTTATGTAGCTGACTGCCGATTACATTTAGCTTCAGATCAATGTCTTTGCAGAAGGGATAGATGTCCACCCTGTGTTCTTTGTTTTCAGCTTGTAAATCAGGAGGACACATAGGAGCAACATCACACTCTGTTGTTCTCGATATGCTGCTGACTTCAGGGTTGACGCTGCCCATGCTCTGACTGGCCATGTTAACGGATGATACAACGCCAGGAAGTTCAAAAACCTCTTTTGAAAGTTTGACTGCATCTTCACTATTTTTAAGCTGTCTTACTCTATTCATAACTTCACATGCAAAGGTATTCCTATGGTTTTCGCTCCACAGGCCAAAGTCAAGGTTGTACTCAAGGATCTCCATGATGAAATCCTGCTGGGATGAATTCATTGCTATGGCAAATTTAGCAATTTCAAGCAGAATAGAATTAGACAAAGTGTCAACACTGAAGTTTTGCCTTTGGCCAAATCCAACATTAAATTCAAGGCCAGCTTTCTTTGACCAGAGGAATGCACAGTACTCTTTTTCTTGTAAGGAAAGGATTTGTTTTACACGATTTGCACGCAACTTCCACATATTGCTCTCCATTTCCATTTCCTCTTCTTCCATGTCACATTTGTATGGCACATTTCTTGGAATCGCTGTCTTCTTTTCATCTCCACACTGTCCTCTTTCATCAAGCTGACTTTCAAATGTTGGGTTCACATTTGAGTTTAAAATTGGTAAACTGGATGGACCATCAGTGGAAGTGAGGAAAGGTTCATGTGTACCCAGACAGTTTGATTGTGATTGACTATGGGTATCACAACTTCTTTGGTTTTGTAAGTCTAGGTCCACACCTATCCCTTTGCAAATGGGATAGTGGTCTCCACAACTCTGCTTATCTTTCTGTACTTTTACAGCTCCCCTATATTCACTCATCATCAGTGTGGCTTCTTCCTTCTTTGTTTGAAGTGCCAATTGTCTTTTTTTGGTTGTTTCCTTCCTTTCGTTTTTCTGCATGGCAGATGCCGCTTTCTGTTTACTCATATCTCTAGGATCTCTGTTAGGATATGGTTGAATAACAAAAATGTCACTGAACCATTCGGGCCCTTTGTTATGTAGTGCCACCATTCTTTGGAACAGCAGTGCAGGATTTACATCTCGGCTTTGCATACCAATGTTAAAGTTGTGTTCAACAACATCATTAATTAGCTTATTTTTTGTTCCACACAATCTTTTGGCAAAAATACCAACTTCCCTCATAATACCACGTGTCAACTCACGGATATCGAGTTTATCCCTTGGTTTGTCTTTGTCCATGCATAGGCTTAAACCTATTTTCTTGCAGTAAGGGTAACTGTCCATTATTGTTTCCTCTGCTGCTTGGAAAGGAGAGGACAGATCCTTTGTAGATGTTTGGGCAGTGCAGTCTGCTTCTGCAAAGACTGCATCAGTCATGGCATGTGGACGAGGATAAGGTACATTCACAGGATTAGCTTGATCCTGACAAAGTTTATAATTTCTGTCTTCATAACATTTGGGGCAAAATTTATTTTTCGGATAAGTAGATTCATTGATGAGTCTTGAGTCAGGGAGCTCAAAAGGCATTTTCAGGAATCTGGATTTATTACATTTAAAAGTCAATCTAGCCATTTTGTCCAAAACTTGCTGTGCAAAGACACTGCGACAGATCTCATTGTTGAAAGTCAGATGAAAATTGTACTCCAGAATCTCTGTGATGAAATCCTTTTGGGCTGATTGCAGTGCTGTAGCAAGAGTGCTTACTTCAACCATGATGCCATTGGTCAGTAATTTTGGATCAAGAATTTGTTTTACTCCAGATCCCACATTGAAATCAATGCCCAATTTCTTGCATCTGGAGTAAGAATAGAGTGGGCAATGTTCTACATGAGGCACTGAGAGGATCTGCTGAGTTTGATTAGCCCGCAATTTCCACAGTCCTAAATTGAGCTTATTATCTTTTTCAGTGTCAATGGAACTCCCTGCATTTTGTTCTATGATTGGAGCCTGGGAAGAGCCAGTACTACATTTATCTAAATTTGGGTTGTTCTGGCAATCCATTACCATCACTGACAAATCTTTTATTGAGTTCTTTAACCTCTTGGAGCCTGATAGATTTGATAGATTTTTGTGCTCCATTATAACAGGAATTCGAGTGAGAATAGTTTTAGCCAGGTTTGAATTTCCATTTTGCCAATCAAGGTCAAAGTTGTGTCTGAGGATATCAAGACAAATTTTATCAAATTTCCCGCACAACTTTTCTGCAAAGTTTGTTACTTCAGTCATTGCCCCATTGGTCAATTTGTTGATCTCAAGTTTTTTATGTGGCTGAGTGCCGATTACATTTAGCTTCAGACCAATGTCCTTGCAGAAAGGATAAAGGGCCACCCTGTGTTCTTTAGTTTCAGCTTGTAAATCAGGAGGACACAAAGGAGCAACATCACACTCTGTTGTTCTCGATATTCTGCCAACTTCAGGGTTGACACTACCCATGCTCTGACTGTCCATGTTAACCGATGACACAAGACCAGGAAGTTCAAAAACCTTTTTCGAAAGTTTGACTGCATCATCACTATTTTTAAGCTGTCTTACTCTATTCATGGCTTCACTTGCAAAGGTTTTCCTATGGTGTTCACCCTTCAGGCCGAAGTCAAAGTTGTACTCAAGAATCTCCATGATGAAATCCTGCTGGGATGAGTTCATTGCTAAGGCTCGTTTAGCAACTTCAAGGAGAACAGAATTATACAAAGAGTCAATGCTGAAGTTTTGCTTTGGGCCAAATCCAACATTAAATTCTAGGCCAATTCTTTTTGATCTAATGAATGCACCATAGTCTTTGTCTAGTGAGAAAAGGATTCGTTTTACACGGTTTGCACGCAACTTCCACATGTTGCTCTCCATTTCCATTTCCTCTTCCTCCATGTTACATTTGTATGGCACATTTCTTGAAATATGCGTCTTCTCTTCATGTCCATACTGTCCTCTTTCATCAGGCTGACTTGCAAATGTTGGGTTCACATTTGAGCTTGCAATTGGTAAACTGGAGGAACCATCAGTGGAAGTGATGAAAGGTTCACATTTACCCACACAGCTTGATTCTGATTCATTATGAATGTCAGAAGTTGTTTGGTTTTGTAAGTAGTCTCCATTTTCATCGTCTGAATCTGTGACTTCGTCTGAGTCTAAAGGACACATATAGCTGTGGTCATCCTCCAATGTTTGACTCGTCCACAAATCAGTGTGATGAGACAGTGTGTTTGTCTCTTCCTGTTCAGCCTGTTCTGTTCTGCGCCGTTTGGTGACGTGTTCTCTAGTTGTTGAAAGAGCTCTTTTTTCCCGTTTACGTCTTAAATCAGACTGCCTTCTTTTGCTGACTTCAAAGTGATGTAGTGAGGCTCCCACACTGGGCAAAGGTGATCCTTTTTCAAGGGGATTTGTCTGAAAGGAAAATGGCTCACTTTTAAAATCAGTGATAAGTCGCTCTCTCCTTTTCAGCAGGTCTAATACCTTGAACCACACTTGATTTTTTTCCTGTTGACTTTTAAGATCAAGTTCAAAATTATGCTCCAACATACTGAGAACAATAGATCTGTAGGATGCAGTCAGTGCCCTAGTGAACTGTACTAGTTCTAACATCATGCCCTTTGTCAGTAAACCTGGATCTAGACTTTGTTTTGACCCAACATCAAGGTTCAGACCAATTTCTGCACAACAAGGGAATGAGCAGGGAACAACATCCTCTTTCAGTTCATCTGTTGACTGAGGCTCTGAACACTCTAATTCATCATCATCATCACTGTCATCAGTACGTGGTCCATCCATCTCTTCCATCTTCATATAGTCTTTAGATGGTGCTCGTGAACACTTCAATTTATCTTCATGTTCACTTTCATCCATACCATCCATGTCCACCAGGAAACAGTCAGTCTTATATTCTGTAGATCCCATGTTAGGCCCTCTTTTGTCTTTGCTGGTACATTCTGGCTCAGATGACATGTCAAAGAGAGTAAAAGCTTCATGTTTATTTTCAGGAGGTTTTCGGATCAAGTCTCTGACTTTGTGCAGAATTTGAGAAGTAAACTCAATCCGCTGTTGCTTGTTTTTCAATCCAAGATCGAAATTGTTCTCCAGAATGTTTGTGATAAAATGCCATTTACTTTTGCAAACCGTTTTCGCAAAGTCACAGACCTCCAGTATGACACCATTTGTCAATGAATGTAAATCCAATTTCTTGTGTGTGTTGGATTCAACATTAAAATCTAACCCCATTTTTCTGCTGTAATGGAATGGTTCTGGATTCCTTGAGTACTTCTTTACATGTGTAATACACCACTGCCAGATTGTATTGGCATCCATCTTTTTATTGTTCTTCAGACTGCAGGTATCCCCATTGTCCATCGTCAGTGATCTTATTGATCTTCTATGTCTTCCTTTCCTGTATGTAGTTGACAGGAAAAAAATATAAATAACACACACAAACACTATATATCAGCCTTAGGTCTTACATTTTATGAAGATACATTTTATAGAATAAAAGAATAGGAGGTTTCACGAGGCTCCTTAACTATATACCATCGGGTTCAGAATAAAGTGAACAAGAAAATAATACTGGTTCTGGCAATGTTCTGCTGCATTATAAGTTTTCATGCATTATGTGTCAATACAATAAACTATCATGAATGCCACATCTTTCAATTCCAATTTTTTACATAGACAAAATACACTAGATGATCCGAGTTTAAATAAAGTGATGATTTTGAGAAATGAGCTTCAATGATCAGGGATTGACATGTTTTCTTTTAAGGAGACTACTAAATTCTTCAGTGAAGTCAGTTTAATAATAATGGCATTGGTTATATATCAAAATTAAATTAACCTAGTTAATCACATGGGCCTTACTATGTAGCAGGCAACAGGCACTGTTCGCAATTGTTCATAATCTGCCCCTTAACATTGGCTTGACAGTCTGAAGGCTCAGCGGAAAAGCAGATGACAGTGCTTCATACTAATGTATGTAGTCTTTCAGTAAACTTGCTCATGCAAATCATGTATTCTAACCATTGTGTAATGCCAACCAAGCAACAGTACACATAATGGCTTATTCTCGTCAACAACAGTCTTGCCTACTGCACAATTAATGTGGCAGGAATTTATTACGGCTGTGACATCATCCATAGTTTACTTTGCCAAAACCACTACACCACAGTGTCTATAGGGGTGTGTTGTGTGAAGGCTTAGAAATACTGCAGCTGAATCCACATGACAAACCTCCAGAGAGAGTTGCACATATAAATCACAGGCCATTAACGTGACCAGTGTAGAAAGCTAGATCGGTCTAACCCAGGTTACAAACAAGAATATATAGTAATAAACAGATAATCGAAGTAACAAATAAATGGCCCAATGGGCAAATAATTCATGAAAAAAAAAAATCTTTCATATCCGTCACAAACAGTAAAAATCACTTTTATGCACAATTTAAAGTAGCAGTGAGAGCTCTGATAATCTTATATCATGGACCATCTTATTTTGATGATCTACTTTTTAGATGCATCTTACAGATTGCATTAGGGCTGGGTATTGCCACTGATTTCCTGAATCGATTCAATTATTCAATGATTCACATTCGATATCAACTCAGTTGTAGTGATTTCAGTTACAGTATCAATTTTTCTTGTATATGAATGAGATTCTCAGAACTAATGTCTACATAGTTTTTAAATCTGCAGCCAGAAATGTGGCCACATACCTGCCTGTTGACTTGCCGTTGACTTCCTTGGGCGTCTATCATGTTTTTGTCTCTCACGTGCAGGTGTAGTGCTGTTTGTTTATGTACCGAAGCGCTCATGCATTTACTCAATGCATGATTGAGGTTTGGAAATCAATCAGTACACCTTAAATGTCAATATGACAACTTAGACCACTTGATTTGTTTTTATTAGCGGTCTACATGACACACCTGGTGATTGGATCTTCAAATTTATATACATTCCAACCGGATTCTGTGAACTGCACTTTATTTTATCACTTTGAGGAAAAAAAGTGGCTTAGCGTCATTCTGTTGGCTCTGGCAGCTATATACCTACGCTCACCTGACCAGATCGCATTTTAACGACCACACACATTCACAGGAGTGTGTAAAAGACGTGTATTCGAAGATCGATCTCTGAGTTCATGAATCAAAATCGGATTATTTAAATGAAGATCAATTTTAATCGGAAAATCGATTTTTTCAACCCAGCCCTAGACTGCATCATTACAAGGTGCTGTATTTAGATATTTAACTTTAAAAGTTCAGTCTCTGCTAAGAAGCCCATTATTAACTGTTAAACAGCTAGCCCACTAACTACAGCTGGTGACGGCATTCCATCACCAGCTGCACTTCAAGATGGTGGAGTTACAGTCCCATCTGTGAGAAACACGAAGCAGGACGAGTCAGGGCAGCGACTGAACTTTCAAATGAAAGTACTAACATAGCATAAATAAATAACAGCACTGTCCCAACGAATACTCCATATGAACTAAGCAAAAAGTGTGATTTGTTGTGACACAATTCATAAACAGAAGACAGCATTGTGGGCATAGAATAGCGGCGAGCAAACATCTGAAAGAAAGAATGTGAAAGTAGCAGCAAGATATGAATCATAACTTCCAGTCCAGACTTCAATATAAAATCAAAGAAACAGCATATTCTGATTCAGATCATGGACTGCTATTACACCCCAAAAGATTGTCATATGATCTATGTGGTTAGGTTTTTCAAGGACCTCTCTGTGTTTGGCTGCATTCATGCATTCCTCAGTTGTGACTAGTCTCCCTGTTTCTGCCATTGAGAGGCACCCCATAACATGATGCTTCCACCACCATGCTTCACCATAGAGATATTAGCCAACGTAATGAGCAGTGTTCGCCAGACAGAAAAATTTGAGTCCAAACCTCTCCCATCATTTAGGCCAATCTGCTCCTGAGAACACTAAGAGCTTTGAAATGGTGTCATACCCTTGCAGTGACCTATGCCTTATATTTTATCGTGGAGGTTTATAGAGTTCAATGACATTCAAGGCTTGATTTTTGCCCAGTCATGTAGTATGAATTGTGGTACCTTATACAGGTGTGTGCCTTTGTATGCTATATCAAATCCATTCAATTTGCCATGGGTGGACTTCAATCAAGTTCTAGATGCATCTCAAGAACAATTAATGTTAAGAGGATGCACTTGGCCACAATTTATTGGCAGTCTGAATACTTTTGTAAATGAGAGATTTCAGTTTTCGATTTTGAATTCTTTAAATACTTACCAAACTTTCCAAAACATACTTTCACAAAAAAAAGAAAAAAAAAATTTCAGAAAGAATCAATGAAAAATAAAAAGGATGAGTTGGCTTACCCACTACCTGTACAATATAATGAAGATAACTACCAACTGATTATACCTGTAGAAAATACAAATTATGCTACAAACAGCAAATAGACTGAATGATTACAACAAACTCATTGAGAAACACAAATGACACAAGTTATCTCTTTATAGGTTGGATGAATATGAAATGTGGTATATACAATGTATCTTCATCATCATCCAAGTGTATAAAATCCAGCACCCTGCTTTCGTTCCCTCAGTCCGCAACATGAATGTTAACTGTCACCATGGCAACAGGTGCTGGTTAAGTACTAAACGTTAGCTTAGCATATATTTTAATAATGTACAATAAAATTGCAATAAGTCGTTTCTAAACAAAAACAACTGTATTTTCCAGTACTCTATTCTTTCCTCAACATAGTTTAAGAGTTATGTGTAAAGTTTTGTGCAAACAAGTTATATTGGTAGGAATGTGTTGTGTAGTGCATCACATATTGGTGTATGAGCATATGCATCCTCATGCAAATCCAGCATAGGAATACAAACAAGATAGTAGTGATAACTTCTGGCCAAAAACAGGATCAGTTGCATGTAAACATTGGATTCAGCTTGTATGGCAGACCCCTTTTCTACATGTTGCAAAGTCTGTAGCTTCAAGATGGTGGACTGACGTTGAGACTGAATGAATGTTTTCTTTTCAGATCAGCAAATTTACTGTGTCAAGATGCCACATACTGTACCTTGTAAAACATAGTTAGCTTGGCTGCGACACACTCCAACATATCTGGCCCACATTAGGTTGTTTCGACATCCTAGTTGAGTATCCGTCCAATCAGCATTGATGCAGGTCCACAGTAGCCCTGAAAGAAACACAAGTTTGAATAATTGTTAATTCATGAATGCATTGTTTGCGGGGCACTGAAAAATAGGATAAACAGCAGGGTGTAATGTTGAAATGAAAAACAACCGAAAACATCTTTGATCTGTGTTCAATCATAGATTAAAAAAAAAAAAAACTAGGCAAATGAGGCATTCCTCTATTATCAGATGGATATGTAAGGTTACAAGGAGCAGATTTTTGGGTGTCAGCAAAATACAGCAACTTAACCGAAAGAGCAAGATTACAATGAAGCAAAGGGTCGATCCCAGCAACCACACTGCAATATTTGCTAATAGTCAACTGGCTACTTGTGTGACACATTTCCTGTAATTGCCACAGTGCTCAAGTGCCTGTGAAGACTCCAAGTATGTGGAGGTTTACCAGTGCTGACTGAGACACAGTCATTAAGGACGTTCCATCACTACTGCAAACACAAATAGCTTTACAAAGTTTAGTTGATTTGTTCAACATAATAATTAGGATGAAGCAGTTACATTTACATAGGAGACTGTTACAGTCAGATGACTGAATGAGTCAAAAACAAGAAAAAAAGTTGTGTCATTTAATTTCCTATTCTGTAACAATGAAAATAGCAAAATGAAAAATGGGGCAATTATTAATAATAATAAAAAAGTCAATGGAGCTATTTTCCATTAAATATTGTCCTCAGAACATAATTTTGTATGGTTTTCTTAGTACATAACTTATAACCTATAAGAGGGTGAGGTGTGTAGGTGCCACACAGCTTGTTTTTCATGTGTGAACTTTTGGCCTCAAGTTTATTTTCCCTCATTGTAGCAACCCAAGCGCCAACTCACAAATAGTTGTTTCTAGATGCCTCCCCTGCTGATTTTGATACATTTTTTAAAATTAATTTTAATTAATTATTATAAGTTCTCAGATTATTATACGTAAATGAATAATGCTTTGTTTGTGATGACACTTTAGTTTGTTTCGCTGTAACAGCTAGCACCAAGGCCTTGTTCCATGTGCTCCAGGCACTGGGGATTTTCTTATGCATTCCGTGACTTATTATTCTCCCCTGACCTGCAGGAACAGCACCCTCTCAGTACCTCCTAAATCTTTAAACACGAATCACAATCCATGTTCTGTTAATATGCAGGCTAGTCTACAAGGATTTTATTTCTTGCAAATAATCAGGTGACTTTTGAACACTGGAAATAAATCATGTAGTCATCCCGGCAGTAGCCCCCGTGGCACCTAAAATTTCCCTGGAATTTTCTAGTTATCATTGAAATAGCTGAACTCTCTCTACTTTTTTTCATGTCAATCGGATTCTCTCTGCACCACCGCTGTCTTTTCCCAAGTCCTAGGATTTTTAGTAGGGTTTTTTTTTTTTTTTAAATCCAACTTTATTTATAAAGTAAGGACGATATAGCCTACCTACTCCTTTTATTTATTTATTTTAAACAACAAACACAAAACACACGGGACTGAAATGTTGAAACAAGGTAACATGAAAGGAATATACAAATAAAAAGAGTTGAGACATTCAATGAAAATAAGCAAACGAGTAGGGACCAAAGTAAATTATATTCAGACATAACAAGGCTATACAGAGTTTTGACGTTAATATATATTTGTTAAGGAGAGAAATTGACTTTCAGTGCAATGAGCGGCTGAAATAGCATTTAGATTGTTATGATGTTGATAAAGATGATATGCTTGCTCATCATGACGACGCCTAGCAGGATTTGACAAAAAAGAAATCTTTATTTATGAATTTGAGGTTCAGTTGATGATACCAGGATTTCCAGAAGTTTCGGATCTTGTCACAAACATAAAACAGGTGAGGCCATGGTGAAACTACAATGTTGCGTCACTTTGAATGCTGCTGCTGCATAGAATAGAGGGACGGCATTTTCTCCTATCCTTTCGAGAAGGAGGGTCCAGTGTATCCTATACTAGAGGAGATACAATAGGGAGCATTGAAGCTCCTTTCCTTATCACAAAGTATTCGACCAGCTCTTATCGTGGATGCCGCTTACACACTTCTGGGTCATTTCACGAGTTAGGAACCTTCCTAAGCAAAAAATACTTTTCAACCGCAGCCCTGAAACCGGTTGCTGTGATAGACTTTAAACAAAGCGGGGACTCTGCGCTTCATAGTTATGTGTCCCGCTAGAAGTTTGGAAGACTCCGCCTATGTTTGCTGAAGTATTTTGGATATATAAACATTTGTTTTAATTAATTTAATTAAGAAAATGCGTGAGGCACAGTTCACTGTCTTTAGATAAATCTGCAATCCGCCATGAATACAATGTGATCGAAAAGGACTAAACAAACGGAGGCTTACTCACCTAATGTGGGCTGAACAATCTCCCTTGTCCTCTCCTCTTTTCACTTGCGAAGAACACACGGTTTCGCTAACAGTGCGTTTTCTGAAGGTAGTCACAGATCTGAACTACGAGACAGCTCAGCAGCTCTCAGGAAATTATAACGAAGAGTAACACGGGGGGGGGGGGGAGGCAGGGGGGCGCGTCTTACTTCCTTCTTTCGGTGTTTATTGGCGTTTGGCAAACCATCTTATAGGCGCACTACCGCCACTGACTGGAGTGGGGTGTGGATCAGCAGATTTTGCAGGTAAAAAAGTCCAATCCAATGTTTTGAGGTTTGATTCTGCTGATGATATGTAAGCTATACATTCATATTCAAACACAGATCTCATGATTGTCCTGTATATCATTACATGAGACACTCCAGTTGCTCCCCATTCCTGTCCTGATAAACATCAAAGTAGGTTGATGACCTTTTTACATTTGTTCTTAACTTTATCCAGATGAAGCTTTCATGTTAGCTTTTCATCAAACCAGACTGCAAAAAATCTAATAGCTTTCACTTGCTCAAGATATTGCTCATACAATTTTAAAGAGATGAGTGCTTATTGATGTGGCTTTGTGAAAGAAATGACCTGTTTTTGCCTAGTTTAAAACCCCCCCAGTTAACTGCCCATTAAGGGGATTTCTTCTTCTGATGTTGTTTAATGGTGGTTGGCAAAAAGTTTTCAGGTGCATTACCTCCACCTTTTGAGATTAGCTTGGCATTACGAAGCACATCTATCCAACCTTAAGCACCAATGGTCATAGCTCCATGACACTATTTCTCTGCTGCTTGTTGCAATTCACATTATGTTTTGTTATCCCTCACTCCCTTTGTCACCTGCCATGCATCCCTCCCATTGCCCTGTGCTGACAATAGGAGACATTTCCATCAAACTCATCTATCAGTACTCTGTCTGGCTCACACTGGGCGATGAACCTCAATATCTGACAGGAGCTGTGGTCAGAGAGAAAAGGGCATGAACAGAGTTGAGGGTGCATGATGAGCATGGATAGTCACATTGTGACAGGGACAAAAGTGTGTGTACTTGAGTCTTCAGTTCTATCAAAATGAAACAAAATTTTTTATACACCTGACACACCCTCCAAACCCAAGGGTGCTGTTTATCAAATCCCTATGAAAGCCATCTATTGAATCAGAGATCATGTCATATTTCAAACAGCGAACTTAGCTTGTTGCTTCAAATTGATGAAGTTTATGTGTATATCTTTGTTCACATATTTCTCATTGTACTGAGTGATGCAACCTTCATGCTCCTTCAGTTGGGTGTGGCAACTTCTGCCACTGGTCAGGAAAACATGATACCACACCAGCACAGATTGAAACATGTACTTGCAACCAACCATTTTCAAAAACGATGCTTACTTAAAATTAAGAACCAGTGGATTTCTATCATACACCAACCTTTTCTTTTTCCATAGCAACTAAGGAGATAGCCATTCCCATTCAGGGACTTAAAGTGAAATGACAAGATTTTAACTATATTCATCACGATTAGTATTCGTTCTCTTTAAGTTGAATTATATTGTCATGAGACATTTTGAGATGAAATTTTTAAGGTTGTAATGATGATGAATTTGATAATTCAATGTGATTTTCTTTTATATGTATATGTAATATTAATAGTAATAAAAAATTCACCTCTTTCAACCTGCCCTAACACACACCAGGAGATATTTTTTTAAGGATGTCAGTATTTACCTGTCAACTCTGCTATGAAGAAAACAAATACTGTGATGATTCTGAATTTATCATAGGAAAAAAAGTTTGTCATCATGTCCTTACATTTAGGTGTGTGTATGAGATGTGTGACAGGATGATCTCATTTTTAAAACATGTCTTCTGATGACTGAAAAGTAAAATATAAATTGCACTGATGCTGCCAACCTCCTCCTTGCTGAATGACTTGTTCCATGTTATCACAGTAGATCTTGGTGGGACAGACAACAGTAGTTTCTTTTAAATCCTAAAAACTATCAAGATCAATATCACAATTTCAACTGAATTTAAATTTCTATAAAATTCAACAATGTATTTTCATTGTGGAAAAACAGGGCGGGCAAGATGATGTTAACCCTTGAAAATATTGGAGCAGAGCACACATTGGTAAAAGAGATGCTTTTGAAACTTTATTAAAAATGTACTAAAACAGTTTAAAACAATACAACTGTCCATCAAGATCTAGGTCATTTTCTTCTCTTTAGTGTATATCTGCATTATAAAGTAGATTAAACTTATTAAAACAATCACACCGTCAATCTTTATGCATTTATGTCACAAATTTAAAAAAAGAAAAGGAAAAAAGAGACCACAGTTCTTTGTAGTTTACGTCTTTCATTTTTCATTGTCAGTAAGCAGCTTTTTCTTTTTGGAAAAAGAATGAACACATTATATAAAAATAGCATGAAGGTCAGAAAAGGCACTAATAAACAGTGGGAAAACAACATTAAAAACACAAACAAGCACTTGAAAACAAACCAGAAAGCCTCCAATTGCTAAATTACAATAAGGTAATATCTACACAGAAGAGTTCAGTGTCTCATCATCCTTAAAACGAATTCTCGTCAAATTCTCAATATTGGACGAACAGCTGAACACTATCTGTTTAACAACTGTCTTTATTGTGGACCATCACTTAGATTATTAAGAATCTTGTTCCTGTTTGATTTCCACTTCACTTTTTGTTTGAAACATCTCCATAATGAAGACTGAACAATTTTCTTGCTCTTGTTTGATCAATGTACTCTCAGTGTCCTGGCATATGGTTACCATGGAGTATGATGATCCTGCTGCTTCAACTGGGATTTCATACTTGACATCCTCACTGTCTGATTCTGTTTTCACACTGCTCTCAGTCTTTGTACCTACATAGTACCTGGCATATCCTTCAGATACTTTTGGTTCAGCCAGGTTGTAATACTGGGCATCCTCTGTTTCTGATTCTGTTTTTATATGGCCTTCAGAGTTTGGACATATGGTTAAAGTATATCCAAAGGATCCTGCAGGTTTACCTATTTCCTCAGTGACTGGTTCTGGTTTCATATCACCATAATGTGAATCATCTTCCTCCTCTTTGATCTGTTTGATTCCCTGGAGAAGACTCTCACAACCTCCACTCACGGGACTCACTGTCATCTGCATTATTGTCCCAGGATCGGTTTGAGACTTTGTGTCCTCCTCTTCAAACCAAAGTTCCTTATTAGTTTTGACATTAAGAAGATGGGCATGATTGACATCTGAAAGGTTTCTCAATTGTTGAACAGCTCTACATCCTTCATTCGTTGTCATGTCTGTTGTTTCCACAGATGATTTAGGACTTTCATTTTGTCTCTCTTGTACCAATCCTTGTAATTCTTTGCGTTCAAACACAAATGGCAATTTGAAGACCTCATTTGCTCTGTGCAATTTTTTCCGGTATTGTTTGACCATGGTTTTGACTTTGGCTGCAGTAGCTATGGAAAATTCCCACTGCCTGTAGTGTTGTGAGCTTAGATTAAAGTTATAGTCAAGGATGTCAAACAGGGCGCCTGGGAAGTAGTGTTGTGGTTTCCTTCCTAGAAATTTATAGATCTCCATCACTGCAGATCTAGTCAACAGCTTTAAGTCCAGTTTTTCCTTGTCTCCTGATTTTGATGTCATGTCTAGGTCCAGACCTATCTCTGTGCAAATGGGATAACAGTCTCCACTACTCTGCCTATCTCTCCTTGATTTTACAGCACCCATGTTATCACTCGATAGGGTGGCTTCTTCCTTCTTTGTTTGCAGTGCCTGCTTTCTTTTTTTGGTTGTTTCCTTCCTTTCATTTTCCTGTGTGGCAGATACTTCTTCCACTTTTCTCACATCTCTAAGCTCTCTCGGAGTACAAGGCTGAATAACAAAAACTTCACTGAACCAGGTGGGCCTTTCACCATACTGTGACAACATTCTCTGGCACAGCATTGTAAGATTTATATATTGGCTCTGCATGCCAAGGTTAAAGTTGTGTTCAAGAATATCATTAATGAGCTTATGTTTTGTTCCACACAATCTTTTGGAAAAACTAGCCACTTCCTTCATAATACCATTTGTTAATACATGGGGGTCAAGTTTATCTTTTGGTTTGTCTTTGTCCACACATAGGCTTAAACCTATTTTCTTGCAGAGAGGGTAACTGTCCATTATTGTCTCCTCTGCTGCTTGGAAAGCAGTGGACAGATCCTTTGCAGGCTTCTGAGTTGTGCAGTTGACTTCTGCAGAGACTGTGTCAGTCATGGCATGTGGACGAGGATGTAGCATATGGTCAGAATCAGATTCATCTTGACTAATCTTAGAATTTCTGTCTTGATAACATTTAGGGCAATATTTAGTTTTCAGATAAGTAGATTCTTCTTTGCCTGTTAAATCAGGGAGCTTAAAAGACATTTTCAGCAATCTGGATTTCGTACATTTAAAAGTCGATTTAATCAGTTTGTCCAGAACTTGCTGTGCAAAGACATTGCGACAGATCTCATTGTTAAAATTCAGATGAAAATTGTACTCCAGTATCTCTGTGATGAAATCCTTTTGAGCTGGTTGCATTGCTGTAGAAAAAGTGTTCATTTCAACCATGACGCCATTGGTCAGTAATTTTAGATCCAGATTTTGTTTCACTCCAGATCCCACATTGAAATCAATGCCCAATTTCTTGCATCTGGAATAGGAGTAAAATGGGCAATGTTCTACATGAGGCACTGAGAGGATCTGTTGAATTTGATTAGCCCGCAATTTCCACAACAATAAATCGAGCTCATTTTCTTGTTCAGTGTCAATGGAACTCCCTACATTTTGGTCTATGATGGGAGCCTGGGAAGAGCCAGTACTACATGTATCTAAATTTTGGTTGTTCTGGCAATCCATCACCATCATTAAGAATTCTTTGTGCTTTCTTGGGTTTATTTTCTTGAAGCCTGTTACATTTGATAGATTTTTTTGCTCCAATATAACAGGAATTCGAGTAAGAATAGTTTTTGCAAGGTCAGAATCTCCATTTTGCCAATCAAGATCAAAGTTGTGTCTGAGGATATCAAGACAAATCTGATCAAATGTTCCACACAACTT